TGATGGATTTTTTGGCGACTCATGGGCCACAGTTGTTGGTGGCCGACAATGATTGATGATTGGCAATAGTGTAACAATATAAAGATAAAAATGAAAAAGAAAATGTCTTTAAAAATATTGATCTATACTTCTCAACAAAACATATTATTAACAATGTCCTTCAAATCAGAACATGACAATCATTAGATTTAATGTTAAAAGTTGATTTTATTTTATTTTTAATTTTTTTTAAAATGTATAAAAAATAAAGAGGTAATATTACATAAAAAAGTTAAAAAATATAAAAAAATTTACTTTTAACCGAGTTGTCAAAACAAACCGTTATATACACATAAAAGCGAATTTATCATTATTATGTTTCCAAATAAATGAAAAATACGATTTTAAAAAATAGTTTACTTTTTAATAACAAATAGTGAAACTATGTGATTCTGATAATTATAAATTTGAATTTTTAATGAATAATTCATACATAATTTTACAAATAAACCACTTAAATTATCGGTCACTTAGAGTGGATTTCATGGGTCAAAAGGATTGGACCATCCAATGTAAACTTCTGAGCCCACAACCACAAGACTAACTTATGTGATCTCAAACTCAAAACCAAAACCATCTTTTTCTATCATAAGCTTCAAAAAAAAATAATTTAATAATAATTGATAGTCGTAGTACCCGCCGTTGAAAAGGTATATAACATATCCTCTTTATTCTGTAACAAAAAAAAAACATATCCACTTTATTATATATTTTTATAATAAATATTATGTAATTTTGTAATAAATGTTACATATTTTTTGGTAAGAGTTAAGACAATTTGTAATTTAAAAATGAAATTAAGCGTTTTGTGACAGTGGTACTCGTTTTTGTAGTAATATTATACATTTTTTTATCCGAATATTTTCTAACCACAAAATGTGTAATAATACTACAAAATACGTAACATTATCACAAAAATATGTAACTTTATTTCTGAACTATAAATTGTCGTAATTCTTACTAAAAAAATATATAATAGTTATTGCAAAAATACATAATATGTTAGAAAAAATTTATGAACTAATATTAATTTAATTAATAAAGTAATTAACAGATGTACGATAAATAAAATATGAAAGTAAATAAATTCATATAGAGTAAAATATAGTTGGCCTGTGAGATTGAAAGGGGTATAATTATTGTGATAAAACTATTATTTCTCCCCATGTGAAAGTACAACCTGAGTGCATCGATTCCAAGATATAACTCAAGTGCTCACAACCTTCCTCATTCGATATTCATGTTCATCAGGAGGATATGAACGAGTCACGAACTATAATTGCTTAAAAATACAAAAGATAGATCAAACTACACTTCATAATAAAATCTCAATATATATTTTACTCATGTATACGCTTGTGTGTCTCTTATGTGTCCTCCATCTTTAGAAAACATAGACATATATAGAGGTGAAAATCTTATAAGAATTAATACATAATATTTAATCATAAAATAATTATAATAATTAAACTTGATAATATCTTTATAACCGAAATATTTAAAACTAATATTTATGGTAATAACGGTCCAACAAATTAAATAGACATAATTAATTTATTTTTATTAAAATTCTAACATAATATACATCACAAAAACACATAAACATGTAGATATGGTAAACACACATATATACATGGAAGTAACATGGGATAGACTTTAGTTCTCTTTTCTCTTTTCAATAATGCTACTTACAAAAAAAAACAAATAATAATAATAATAATAATAATAATAATAATAAAGAAGAAGAAAAATATATATATATATATTAATGTGCAATAAGATTAATTTTAAGTGTAATTCTATCACAATTAAAACATATCCAAATATTATTTAAATCTTTAATTTGTGCCTGTTTTCTCCTGCATAATGTTGCCTACGGTTATGCTATGTAGCTCGAAATTTTCGAGCTCAAAATTGACCCAAATTCAAAACCACATCGTTTCGTCGTTTTGATTTGTTTTATTTTTTTTAATAACTGGTAGAAGAAGAAAAATCAAAAAAGAAGAAGAACAAAGAAGAAGAAGAAGAAGAAGAAGAAGAAGAAGAAGAAGAAGAAGAAGAAGAAGAAGAAGAAGAAGAAGAAGAAGAAGAAGAAGAAGAAGAAGAAGAAGAAGAAGAAGAAGAAGAAGAAGAAGAAGAAGAAGAAGAAGAAGAAGAAGAAGAAGAAGAAGAAGAAGAAGAAGAAGAAGAAGAAGAAGAAGAAGAAGAGAGAGAGAGAGAATCATCATCATCAACCGAACACATCATCATCATCATCACATCTGAAATGCTGAAATGGTATATTTAGAAACTACCATATCTCCTGCAATGGTATAGTTTCTAAACCCACCATAGAGATCAACAAAAAAAAAAAAAAATGTAAAAATCTAAAAAAAAAAAATTCAATACATCATCCTCATACACAGATCGGAGGTGGAGATTAGAGATCGGAGGCCGGGCTGTGATGATCGGAGGCGGAGGCGGAGGCGGAGGCGAAGGTGAAGGCGGCGATTGACCCTCTCCCTCTCTCTCTCTAATCTCTCTTCCCCTGTCTTCTCTTTCTCTTCCTCTTCTTCTCTGCTCTCTCTGTTTCAGACATAAGGAGGAAAAAAAAAACTATCCAAAACGACATCGTTTTGAGCAGCCGGGCCATTCGGGGCAGAGAGATTCGAGCAACAAAGGATTATCCTGCTAACGTGTAAGTTGTGGAGAAGACATAAAAAAAAATATATGTAAATTTCATAAATAACTATGTTCTGTTTAAATGAAATGAAAAGATTTGAGATTATTTTTTATAAAATTATGAAAAATGTAATTTTTGAACGTAGAATAATTACATGTATCTAGGTCAATTAGTAAGAACCCTTTCATTTGAGAAATTGATAATATTACAACTACAGACCCACAGCATTTAGAGTTGCATCAGCAGCTTAAGCCACAACAAGAGTTGTCATTAAAAACTAATCAGCCAAAGCCAAAACTGAAGCTACAGCTTATGTCCTAGTTAGATAGAAGACAGAGTTTGTTAGATTAGTTAGTTAGTTACAGATATTATTAGTTTGTTAGATATATTGTATAAATATATCCATGTAATCAGATATTCAAATCAATGAAGAAGCTTTAATAATTCTTCATGGTATCAAAACCTCTCTAAAGCTCTCACGAGCTTGAGGTTGATCCATCCATGGCTTCCTCATCTTCTTCATCCTTACCTGCTAATTTGAATCTTTTGATCTCAAATCTGCACTCCTTCATTACAGTGAAGCTTAATTTTACAAACTTCATCATCTGGCGAAGTCAATTTCAGAATATTCTTCGTGCAACTGAGCTTTTAGATTTTGCAACTGGATCTGTTTCTAGTCTACCATTGTTGATCAAGAATTTAACTGGTGAAGAAGTATTGAATCCAGATCGAGCACAATGGAACATCATTGATGCGCATTTGCTTAGCTGTATTACAGCAACTCTTACACCTGTAAGTTTCACATCTGTTCGTCATTTACAACATAGTGCTGAGGTATGGGACACATTATGCAAGAGATTTACTCTACTTTCTCGGTCTCATATTCATCAAATGAAGAATAGATTGAACAATCTGACTAAGGATTCTAAATCCATTGAAGATTATTTGAGTCAAATTAAAGACCTTGCTGATCAACTGGCTCTAGCTTCATCACCTGTTGATGAAGAAGATCTTGTGTTGCTTACTTTAAATGGATTACCTGATGAATTTGATGCTCTTAAAACTACCATTCGTGCACGAGTTGATGCTATTTTCATGGCTGAATTGACCTCTCTACTTTGTTTTGAATCTATTCACATTGAAACAAAGCAAAGAAAGAGTCAGAATCTAGAATCATCTATTGTTTATTCTGCTACAAGAGGTTCTCATTTTGGTTCTTCTTCTTCATCATATTCTAGTGACAAATCAAGTCACAATTATCGAGACTCCTCTCGAGGTATTTTCCGAGGGGGCAGATCTTCTAGAGGTAGAGGTAGACAAGGCAGACAACCATCACATTCTGGACTAATCTGTCAAATTTGTGGAAAAGCAAATCATATTGCCTCTGATTGTTGGCATAGATTAGGTACTACTTACCACCAGTCTTCTTTTTCTCCTCACTCACAAAATTCATCTTCCCCAAAGGCATATGTTGCTTCTGCTTCACCTGAATCTTCTCCTTGGTATCTTGATTTAGGTGCTACTGATCATATCACACATGATCTCTCCAATCTCAGCATGTACCAACCATATCAAGGTATTGATCAAGTTACAGTTGGCAATGGTACTTCTCTGCCTATCCAACACACAGGGAAAGGTATTTTGCCTACTGCTCTTTATTCCTTTAATCTTACCAAGGTTTTACATGTTCCTATTTCCTCAAATCTTGTTTCTGTCCGTAAACTTACCAAAGATAATAATTGTACTGTCACTTTTGATGATTCTTCATTTGTGGTTCAGGATAAGTCTTCAAAGGCAGTCTTGCACCCGGGCTTTAGTGCTCATGGTTTATATCACTTCCCTACTACTTCTTATCTTCCTTCTTTATCTCATGCTTTTTATACCTCCACTACTGGAGCTGTTTTTGTTGAAGTCTAGCATAAGAGATTGGGCCATCCACCTCAGTTGAAATTTGTACATATGCAGAGTCATTTTCCTGATATTGCTAATAAAACCTTGGCTCCTTTGTCTTCTTGTGTTCATTGTTGTGTGGCCAAGAGCCATAGGCTCCCTTTTATGCTTTTGAATTCTACAATAAACAAACCAATATCTCTCATCCATAGTGATGTGTGGGTTCCTTTTTCTTCTTTGTCTCCATATAAGTACTATGTGCTTTTTGTTGATGACTTTAGCAAGTTTACATGGCTTTATCCTTTGTGTTACAAGAGTGAAGTGTTTTCCAAATTTTTGGAATTTAAAATTTTCCACCAAATTGCAAGTTCTAAGAACTGATGGAGGCACTGAATTTGTTAATACTCCAATGACTCAATTTTTAAAAGCTCATGGTATACTTCATCAAATGTCTTGTCCTTACACACCTTCGCAGAAGGGAGTTTCTGAGTACAAACACAAGCACATCATTGAAACAACCATTGCTTTGTTACATCATTCTTCTATGCCTTTACAGTATTAGTTTAATGCAGCGTCCACAGCTACATATCTCATTAATAGGATGCCTAACTCTAAGCTTTCTAATAAGTCCCCTTATGAAATTCTATTTCATTCTTCTCCTGCTTATTCCTTTTTTAAGGATTTTGGCTGTCAGTGCTTTCCTTGGCTTCGGCCCTACACTTCTAACAGGCTTTAACCTAGATTTACTATTTGTGTTTTTCTTGTTTACCATCCGTCTTTTAAAGGATGCAGATGTCTTGATCTTGCTATAGGGAAAATTCATATTTCTAGACATGTTCTTTTTCATGAGGATATCTTTCCTTTTACCACTACTTAGCCTCCTTCTAAGTCTTCTTCTTTCTCCAACTTACAGTCCTTCTTTTGGTCCTCTAGCTCTCCTTCTAGGTCTGTTAATCTTGTTGCTCTTGTTCTTTGTCATATATCTCTGCCTCCCTCTATTTCTGTATCTTCTGTTGTACCTCATTCTCTGCTTACTAGTCCTACTGCTACTCCTCCTCCTCTGTCTGAGCCTCATGTAGTTCAGTCTCAGCCTATTCAGCCTTCTAATCCAAATCTTTCTTCTCTTGTTAGTATTAACTCCATTTTTATAGATTTACCATGTACACAATCTTCATCCCTTCCTCCCAGTTCTTCTATCAATGTTCATCCTATGCTTACTCGATCCAAAACTAGTTGTCTTGTGGCCTCTTCTTCTTCTTCATTCACTGATATAGAACCTTCCACTTATCAATAAGCTCTTACTTCTCCAGTCTAGTATGCTGCAATGCTTGATGAGTATCATGCTCTTCTTGGTCAAGGTACTTGGTCCCTTGTGCCTCTTCCTTTTGCCAAAATAGCCATTGGCTGCAAATGAGTTTTCAGAATAAAAAGAAATTCTAGTGGGACTGTTGCCAGATATAAAGCCAAGTTGGTGGCCAAAGGATTTTTACAACAAGAAGGTGTTGACTATAATGAGACCTTTAGTCCCGTGGCTAAACAACCTACTATCAGAATTTTGCTTTGCATTGCCTTGCATTATCAGTGGCCCTTAAATAACTTGACATTAGCAATGCCTTTCTTCATGGTATCTTGGATGAAGAGGTTTATATGCTCGAGCCACCTGGTTTTTCTAGTGCCACCAATCCTCATCATGTTTGTAGACTTCGGAAAGCTCTTTATAGCCTGAAGCAAGCACCTCGAGCTTGGTATTCAACCTTCTCCAAGTTTTTGTTAGCTCATGGCTTTGTTAACAGTTAATGTGACAACTCTTTATTGATCAAGAAGACCTCCAATGATATTCTCATTCTCTTGGTCTATGTAGATGATATTCTACTTATTGGCAGTAGTTCTCTTCTTCTTCAAGAACTAATTGGTCAAATGCATGTTGCCCTTGCAATGAAGGAATTAGGCAACATTTCTTACTTTCTTGGTGTTTCTATTCAAACTATGGGAGCTAATTACTTCTTGTTCCAGCAAAAATATGCTTCTGAAATTCTTCTTAAGGTTGGCATGACCTCTTGTGAACCCTGCAATTCACCTATTTCAGTCAAGCCTGCTGTCACTCTTGTTTCTTCTCTGCGTTTTGCTCAACCCCAGTTATACAGAAGTCTTGTTGGTGCATTGCAGTATTTAACCATCACACGCACTGATCTGTCTTTAGCAGTTAACCAAGCCTGCCAACATATGCATGATCCCACTAATGGCAATTTTTCCATTGTTAAACGTATTCTCCGATTTGTTAAAGGTTCCCTCTCTTATGGCCTCACATTTTCTCCCAGTTCTTTTGAGCTTCAAGCTTTTTCTGATTCTAATTGGGCTGGGGATCATTTGGATAGACGATCTACATCCAGCTATTGCATTTATCTTGGCTCTAATCTCGTTTCCTAGTCTGCTAAGAAATAGCTGACAGTCTCTCTATCCAACATTGAGGCTGAGAATAGGGCTTTGGCTCTTGCTACTGCATAGTTGAGTTGGTTACAGATGCTACTACATGATCTGCATCTTCCTACTACTTCCTCTCATATTCTTTGGTGTGATAACCTCTCCGCTATTGCCCTTGCTTCAAATTCGGTGTTTCATACTCGCTCTAAATACATTGAAATTGATTGTCACTTTATTCGTGAGAAGGTTGCAGCCAAGAAAGTTGCTCTCAAGTATGTTCCTTCTGTGGATCAAATCGTTGACATTTTTTACAAAACCTTTATCCAGTTCCAAATTTCAATTTCTCAAGACCAAGTTGTTGGTCATTTCCTCTCCCATCAGCTTGCAGTGGACTGATAATATTACAACTACAGAGACAACTACAAAGCGAACAGAGCCACAACATTTAGAGTTGCATCAGCAGCTCAAGCCACAACAGGAGCTGTCATTAACAACTAATCAGCTAAAGCCAAAACTGAAGCTACAACTTATGTCCTAGTTAGCTAGAAGATAGAGTTTGTTAGATTAGTTAGTTAGTTACAGATATTATTAGTTTGTTAGATATATTGTATAAATATATCCATGTAATTAGATATTGAAATCAATAAAGAAGCTTTCAATAATTCTTCAAAAATTGAGGAACATAAAATATTTTTCTTCATATTATATAATCACTACTACCGAATTATTTTTTTTAGTATAAAGAAGTACAAAAATCATATAAATAGTTTTTTGGGGGGCAGGGATCTATATACATTTTGATATAAAGAGAAGGTACTTTGTGAATAAGATGAACAGAGTTTTGTCAATGTTGAAATGAGAATAAGATTTAAAGAAATCAACGAGAACAAAAATAAGTACATTGTGGAACACTTATATATATATATATATATATACACACACATAGTATACTAGGTAGGGAGGCCCATGCAAGGCACGAGCGAGTTGCACATCTCTTTTTATTAACATTTGAGTTTTTGATTTTAAAGTAGTGTTTGTTTGATGGACGAAAAATATAATGGAATAGACCTTATATATTTATATAACATCATTTTATTTCACCTATAATTTTTTTATGGAAGAAAAATATAATGGAATAAACCTTATATAACATCATTTTATTTCACCTATAGTTTTTCTTAAAATTTATTTATTTATTTAGTTTAGGAACTCTTATGTTGTATTTGGTTAATTAGAATGAGATGCAATAGAATGATTATCTGTCTTTATTACGGCTTTAGTTATGAGTTTGGATTCTCTAAAGCAATTTTGGATTTTTTTTTTAGCTGGTTGGTATTTAATTCTACAAAAATTAAAGATACGATAGTCAAAAATTAAGAGTACAGCAATTGTTTTGAAAGTATAACAACCATACAAATAATCATTCTGACATCACTTTAAAAACAAAACGGTAAATTATAAATATACCCTTGAGATTTGCTTAAAATGCGAATTGTCCCTTATGGTTTGCAAATTTACAAATACCCCTCTGTTAGAATTTTTTTTATTTAATAGAATTAATTGAATTTTTTTTTCTAACTGCTTTTATATACAATAATAAAAATACATAAATTATTAATTGAAATAAATTTTTGTCATCACTATGGTTTGCAAATTTACAAATACCCTTTTGTTAGAATTTTTTATTTAATAGAATTAATTGAAACTTTTTTTCTAACTGCTTTTATATACAATAATAAAAATACCTAAATTATTAATTGAAATAAATTTTTGTCATCACTAAAAACTATTAATTAACTTGATGATTTATTTATAAAAATGATTATTTGTTATGATATTTGAAATTTGAAGGGGCGTGATGTAATTTTTAAAACCATAAGGAACAATTTGTATTTGAAACAAACCTCAGAGAGGGTGTTTGTAATTTATCCAAAAAAAACTCTAAACTTTTGGACTATTAGGCTAATTACAATTAACCCAAATTTTTTACAAAATTTTTAAAAACCCTCCATCCAAATTAATTCACCAACCAAACTAAAGGCCAAATAGATTAAAAAATAAACATAAGGGCAAAATGAAAAATAAAATACAAGCCACCAACACCAAAGTTATTCTTATATAGATAGATATATTAAAATTAATAAAAATATTGAATAGTTAGAACTTAGACTTGGTTTTATTTGTCCTTTTGAATGTTAATCCATAAATTGAACTATAATCAATTGTTTTTAAAATTTTAGAATTGAAACCAAAATCATGCCTTCAAAACATCAGACTAAATTGTACAATTTAGACTTATTCAATAGATAATTTTATTTATTTATTTAATACCACAACTTCGTTGCAATCTGGATTGCACAATCTTTGTTATACATCTTACACTTGAGTTGGTATTGACAAAAAAATGTCTCACAATTTTAATTTACAAAATACCCCCACAAGAATTACATAATTCTACAAGTATCTTCTATCTATCTATACTATTATAAAGTGAACATTAGACTTAATGTAAACACTACAACAAATAAGAGTTTTAGAGACTATAAATGTTTTGATCTCTAAAAGTGAAAATTTTGTTATAAAAAACATTTAGAAACCAATTTCTATCGTCATGAGGATAGTCGCTAAAAGGTCGTCCCGAAAAGTTCAAAACAAGGCTTTTAGCGACAAAATTTTGACAATGTCACTAATAAATAAACTTTTAGGGACAAAATAATTTGGTCTCAAAATGGTTTATTTTTTTAGACAAAAAATTTGGTCCCAAACGGATAATAATTCATCACTAATGTCTAATTTTTGTTGTTAAAAATACAATAACGGCACTTTTCGCAACAAAAATATTTGGTCCCTAAAAAATAATTTTGTTTCTAAATTTTAGTTTCTAAAACCTTAATTTTTTGTAGTGAAATGATATAGAAAAAGTACTTTGTTAATAAGATGAATGAAGGCTTTATTGATATTGAAATGAGATTAGGATTTAAAGAAGTCAATAAAAAACAAAAGTAATATATATATATATATATATATTAAAATTATATAAATATTGAATAGTTGGATGTGGTTTATTTCTCCTCTTGAATCTTAATCCATAAATTGAACCATAATCAATTGTTTTAAAAATTTTAGAATTGAAACCAAAACCATGTCTTCAAAACATCATACTAAATTGTATAGTTTAGAATTATTCAATAGACAGTTTTATTTAATTTTTTTAACATCATAATTTCGTTATAATCTGAATTGCACAATCTCTATTATATATCTATCTATTCTTCTATTATATTATAATATGTGAATACCTGAATTGGTGTTGACAAAAATTGTCTCACAATTTTAATTTCTAAAATACCCTCACAATAATTACATAATTCTACATGTATCTTCTATCTATTTATCTATCTATATTATCATAAAGTGAAACACCATACTTGGTGTGAATCTGACAAAAAATTAATTTTCAAAAATACCCTCAAAAACAGTTTTGGAACTGCTAACTTGCAACCTCATGAATGAGTTGGTGTTTTGTGTCTCATAATTTTTATTCCAAAATAAGCCCGAATAATTATATAATTTTCACATGTAACTTTTTTCTTATAATTTTTTTTTGGAGAATTCATTAAGAAATCATCTTACAAGTACTTGAATTTCAATTGGTTCATAACATATTCTTATATTCCAACAAATCTTATTATTTATATATTTGATCCACCAGATCTTAATTTTATATTTGAGATAATCTAAATAAGTATATTTTTTGACTTTTTTACAAAAAGATATGTAAAACTGTAGAGAAGTGATATGACCCTAATAAATACACTTATCTAAATAAGTGCACTTATATAGTGCATGCCAAATAGCCTGTTTTATACTCTCTTTTTTTAAACCCTTAACAACTTGGTGTGAACTATTTTGAACTTTTTAAAAAATTTATAATTTTTGTTGCTCATTTTTTTTTTAATGAAATTAATATTTTTGAAACCTAATTAATGAGATCTATCAAATAAGATCTCACTAGAATATGTAATTTTATAAAATAAAAATAAATAAATTTGACAGTGTGAATGTTCACATCATGAAACATTTACATTGTTAATGTAAACATTAATGAGCGCTTCACCCTACTATCATTAAGGATATTTTGGTAACTTTGTTAGCCATATGACATATTGGAACATTGAAAAATAATTTAGGCAAATGAAACATAAGTAAATGAAGAGAAATTTATAAATAAATGCTCTATTTTTTTCACCTTGCACACACAAAATGTGTACTTGGCCGCTAACTTTCTTTAAAAATTAAAAGTAAAATCAATACAACTAAACTATAAATATCAAATTGATGTAACAGTTAAATTTTAGAGATTAGAAGTACAATTTTCCCAAATTATAAAAAGAAATTTGTGGCCATAATGTTATCGAACATAACGAGGAAATCGTACAATGTCACCGTAAAGCAACAAATCACCAAAACAAAAAATATTTTCCGCTGCCAGGATTCGAACCTGGAATATTCTCAATAGCCGAGTTGATAATAGTTGAGCTACAGTGGATCTTGCGATATGCTTAAGAAGATAATAATATTTATAAAACTAATGTTTTAAGTAGTGTCTTTTTTTTTGAAGGGACTAAGGTAGAGTTTCATGACCTAATTTAATACTTAAAACTGAATATATTAAGTGAAAATTAATTAAGTCTATATGATAATTACAAATGGTATCACTTAAATGTAACTTACAAATGGCATCACTTGAATATAACTCTTAAAATATAAGCTAAAAATTAAGAAAATTTTAATTGATAAAAAATTTATTTAATTCTGACTCAATTTATAAATATTTATACATAAGTATCAACATATACCATATAACCTCACAAACTCCACCATCACCGTCACCGCTATCACCACCACCATCATCCATCACCCTTCCACAGCCACCACTTTCATCACCATTGTCGTTACTACCATAACCATCGTCATTATTTTACTACTACCACCACAGTCGCCACCTATTACCACCACTACTACAACAATTTGTACAATCCTTCACCTCTACAACTATTGTCACCGTTGCCATAACTTTTTTTTTTATCAGCAAAAAAGAAACCTTTATTGATGAAAAACCATACAAGGGATGAGATTACATCAAATAAAGAGGGGGAGGGGGAAGAGTTGCATGCATCATAGCAAACTAACCCAATCCCAACTAGGTTGGCACCGAGAAGAGAGCCCAATCATCTGCAAGCTTAACCCCAGGAGTTTGGTGATGAACCAAACCCGACGGGAAGAAAAAGGAAACAAGAGAACAGAATACAAACACAGCAAAACATAACAACGTAAATCAAACAGAATAAAAAAATCATATCAGAGTAAAAGCAGCAACCACAGCAGCAGGTAGG